CGGTGAAGGGGACGCGGCCACTCTCATAGAGCAGGGGCGACACACAGTGCACTTGCCCGGAGGAGTCCACATGGCCGAGGGTCTGGATACTCTCCTTAAACCTATGGGCATAGTGGTAGTAGGAGGGGCTGGGCCATCATAGGCTGAGCCTCTCGACAGTCCGGGCCCCCAACCTCCCTGGGGAACCCAGCCAGCCAGCCGTCCCTGTGCCCTCCTGCCTGTCCTGGGTCCGAGGGGCTCCACTCAGCCAGCCAGTGGGTCTGAGCCCTCAGCACGCACGGGGATGGAGGTGTGGGGCCCCGGTGCCTGGCCTCCTGGGCTTCCCAACCTGCAGATCGCACTGGTGTCTGTGGGGCTGGACATCTTGAAGTGCTGCACCACAAAGTCCTTGCCGCCCATCATGGAGCCTGAGTAGGGCAAGATCTCCAGGCAGAAGTCCCGGAAATCTAAGCAGCAGGTGCCAAGGCCGGAGCACGTCGGGTGGCAGGAACACGGACCGTCCAGGGCGCCACAGCGCATGGAGCAGCTGTCTTGGGCATCTGGAGGAGAGGATGCTGAGGGCCTGGCCTGGCGTGTGCCAGACTGGCTGCCCCACGTGCAAGGCCTGTCTCTGTTCCTCCCACAGCCCATTGGACAGCAGCATCCCAGGAGAACGCTGGCCGGGAGCTGCACTGGCCACCACGTGGACATGGTAGAAAGGCACAGGGCCCGTGGGGATGGGATGAATCTTAGCACAGACCATCTGGCCGTTGCCCTGATGGGCTAGAATGCAGGGAGAAGAGGCAAAAGGCTGCATCCACTCAGCCCTGCAGGGTCAGGAGAAGCCCCTGGGCACGACTATACTTCAGCCACCAAGTCCTCTATCCCACAGGTGGGCCACGGTAGCCGGAGCCCTTGACCTCTCTTGGCTCCCCAGGGTGTCTGTGGACAGTGCACCTTCTGAGGGGCCTGAAGCCTGCAGAACCCCTCTTGCTTGCCTGGATTGGCGGGGGGACATGGCTGCCAAGAGTCCCATTCGAGGCCTGGTAGGGAATGGTGCAGGGTCTGAACTTGACCCTTCTCACTCTCCCAGGGACTGTAATTGAGATCCCAAAGAGAACCCCGCCCTCAGGGCAGAAGGCCAGGGCTGCTCCCCTCCTTTTTGGGGAGAGGAGGGACATTTCAAGCAGGGGTCCCAGCAGTGGGGAAAGGGAAGTGGGGGTGCACACCGTGAGGGGCTGTGAGCGCCAGGTCCAAAGCATCTCCTATGGGCCATGAGACCTGTGGCAGGGCCATATTTCCAGGGGCTGGCATGAAGGAAAGGTTGCAGGGAGGGACTGGGGCGGGTACCTGCACCCAGGCCGGAATCGTACGTCCCTGGCCCTTCCCCATCCCCCATCAAAAGAGGCCAGTCAAGGGCCAGGCCTAGGCGTGAGCCACCCCGCTGGCCCCACTCCACTAAATGCAGTGCCTGGCACTTAAGAGCAACAATAAATATGTACTGGCCAAGGATGTGGTGGCGCACAGGGGTCAGGGAAGGAGGCCGAGAGATGCTTACAAGTGAGATAAGTGGCAGGAAGGTGAATGGGAAGTGGGGTTGGGGGTGGCCTGTGGCCAGTGTCCTGGTTCTAGAATTCGGGGCTTCCCCTAGACTTTCCCGGATTCAGCCCCACCCTGATGAGGACCCACAATCCTGGCTCCCCCTCCGCGATCCCGCCCTGTCAGGACTGGGGACGCAGGCTGAGGCCTCTGCTGGTCTCCCCCGCCTCCCTCCTAGCTCCCAGCGGGTTTAGGGTGGGCCTGGCTCAGATCTCCCATCCCCATGGACTGCCCCACGACATGGACCCTCAGAATTTCTTCCCACCACCCCTAGCACAGCCACAGATGGCCTGACAGATGGACAGAGGCTGAGCCCAGAGGGGCGTCTGCCCAGGCCTGGCTGCAGCCAGATGGACAGACAGATGGGGGCACAGAAGGGCAGGGAGGCATACCTGCTGCGGGTCCAGGGCCTGGGCCAGGGGCTGTCGCCAGCAGCAGCAGGGCCCAGGGCAGGAGGGCTGGCTTCATGGTGCAGTCTGTGTCTGCAGCCAGCAGTGCAGTGGCTCCGAGGCAAGGCGGCCAGAGAAGCTCATTCCCAGCCGGCCTGGCCCCGCCCACCCTGCACTCTGCGGCACCGCCCCGCCCCGCCCCTCCTCGCCCCTCCCCGCCAGGTCCCCTCTCAAAGTCCACAGGTGCCTGCGTGGACCAGCAAGGCCCAACCTGCCCCGTTAGCACATTCCTGGCCCGCAGGCACGGGTCGGCCCTGGGACCCTGTGGGAGGGTGAGGAGGCTGGAGCCTCCAGCTGTAGGGCCTTTGGCAGGCGATGAGCCGGATGTCCAGAGGCCAAAGCTCAGACCCCGGGTCCCAGCCCCGCCCTGTGTGCAGGGTGTGCCGGGCGGGGCTGCAGCAGAGGATGGGATGCACAGGGTGGATAAGGCAGGGCTGTTTAAGCTCCAGGCAGGATTCCAGACTCTGTGGCCCTGACATTGACCTCCATCTCTAGCCCTCATCTTCCTGCAGGAAGGAGGTGCTCCCAACTCATCCTCCCGGGGATGCGGGAGCTGTTTGGGTCAGACACAGGCTGAGCCCTGGGGCTGAGGCAGCTCTGCAGGGGACCCCTCCGGAGGGAGGAAGGAGGGAGGGGAGAGGAAGCACTCAAGCCCAGCTGGGAGGCCAGAAGTGAGACAGGGCCCAACCTCGGGCTCCAGAGATGCCACCACACTGGGGAGCCTTGACTCTCCCAGCCACACCTAATCCTGCCACTCAGAGTTTGCATAATCTAATCAGTGTTTCCCTCCCCTTCTTGAGCAGATGAGGAAACTGAAGCTCAGATGTGGACAGGCAAGGCCAAGCCAGGCCCATGGTGGCTTCTGGGAGTCCCTGCAGCCAGGGTGGGCGGTAAGGGCTGTGGCCTGGGACTTGTCACTTGGGCCCTGCCACCTGGGCTGGATGTCCAGACAGGCGGGTGGTCCTCTCCCAGCTGCAGCTTCTCAAGGTGTCCAAAAGGGACTCTTGCCACACTTGCAGGGAGTCAGAGCTGGCCCCAGGGCATGAGCTTAGGCCATCTGGTCTCTGATCTGCCCAGCACTTGGGGCCAGGCCAGTCCATTGTTCCCCGGCCTGTTCTCTCTCTTGCCTGGGTGGTGCCTGCTGGAAACCACAGGGTGTTGGCAGCCACCTGTGGCTCCAGAGGGGTGGCCCCTACTGAAGGCATTAGTGGCGTGCGCTGGGGGACTTGGCTCCTGAGTCCCCACACACAGCTGTTCCAGGGAAGCCACACCCGCATTTGATGTCTTCCCACCTCCCAAAGACATTTGGTGAGAGGCCCTCAAGACCTTCAGCTTCTCAAGGACTGTTTCCAGAGGGGAGAAAGTCCCTTAACCCACAATGGTGCTCAGGGCACCTCTGCAGGTGAGTGTCCTGTGAGTGGACACTCAGGTGCTGAGCCAGGGAGAGCCTGTCTCCTGATCCCATGCTGGCGAGGGCACTCATCCTGGGCCCAGGGCTGAGGTTGCTCCCTACAGCACTGGGTGCAGGGGAGGGTCCGAGGTGTCCCTGAGGTGAGGCTCCAGGGAGGGGTGTTGGGGGTCGGCTGAGACGGTTCCCGGGAACAGGAGGACGAAGAGCTGCTGCTTCCTGTTTCTGGCCTGAGCACCCTTGCTGTGCGTGTCCGGAGATGATGGAAGTGCGGTAGGGGCTAGGTGTGCAGTCTGGGAAGCTCCTTACCCCAGGCCCTGCAGGGAGGGGGCGTCAGCTGAGTAACTGCTCATCTCAGCCCTCCGAAGGCGGGTTCAGCCAGAACCATCTAGGGCCGCCAAGCCTCTGGTTCCACAAGGGCAGTGCCCAGCCCTTTACACCTTCCTTCCTGGGTGGTGGGCGTGTCCAGCCCATGAGGGGCACAGGGCAGTGAGGAGGGTCCCCATCTCCATCCTGGACTGAGAGCCTGCTCCATGGGCGGTCCCAGGGGCCAGGAGGGCCCCTGCGGTGCTGGGAGGGGAAGAGAGTGGTGAAGGGTGGGTTTGGGCCCCTGGAATCTGTGCATCCCCAAAACAGATGGGCCTGGAGCCTTCAGGGGCGGGGCCTGCTCTAGGGACTTGTTTAATGCTCTGTGGGGGCTGCCTTAAAATCCTTAATCATTTTTGATCAGGCATGGTGACTCACGCCTGCAATCTCAAGCAGTTTGGGTAGCCAAGGTGGGTGGATCTCTTGAGGTCAGGAGTTCGAGACCAGCCAGGCCAATATGGTGAAACTCCGTCTCTATTAAAAATGCAAAAATTGCCAGGAGTGGTGGTGTGTGCCTGTGGTCTCAGCTACTTGGGAGGCTGAGGCAGGAGAATCGCTTGAACCCGAAAGGCGAAGGTTTAGTGAGCTGAGATCGTGCCACTGCACTCCAGCCTGGGAGACGGAGTGAGACTGCCGCAAAAAAAAAAAAAAAAAAGAAAAAGAAAAGAAAAGAAAAAAGAAAAAAAAGAAAAAAAAATCCTTAATCATTTTTGAACAAGGGGCTTCATATTTACGTCTTGCACTGAGCCCCACAGCTATTCTCTGACTGGCCCTGTTAGGGCAACGGTGTTGGGACTAAGTGTCCTCCCTGCCGGCCCCATCCCCCCTTCCCCTCCCTGACAGCCCCTCCTCCCAGCCTCTCAGCAGCCCCAGCTCTGCCTGCCCTCCCACCATACAGCCTCCCACCCACCGACAGCCGGGGGAGTTCTGGGGATGCACCTAACGCCCCTTTGAGGCCCGGCTCCAGCTGCACTGGAGGCGTTGCCCAGCCAGCCCCAAACCGGCACTCTCCTCACCCCACTGGGCACCCCCAGTCGCTGCTTTGGTTGCCTGGCTGATCCCTGAGATGCTGGAGAAGGATGGGCCCTGCCCTATGGGCTATGGCAGTAAAGGTCCAGGCCCAGAATCCCTGGGGACAGCAACCCTCCACCCGAGACTCTGCCGGATTGCCCCCTAGAGGTGAGCAAAGAGGCAAAGACAACTGTTCCATCTTTATTAGAAAAGCAACCAAAAAAAGTGAGGGGCGAGCCTGGCCCTAAAGGACCCCTCCACTGTGACACAGGCACAGCTGGCTCATCCCGGCGTCGAGGGGTGGACATGGCCAGCTGGGTGTGGGAAGATTTACAAAGTCAACATTTCATAGAAAAGGATGCCGCCTGGCGTGCAGATGGTGACCAATCCACCTTCACATGGCTAAGGTGGACCCCTCCTCCTCTGGGCTCCCACGTGGTGTGGACAGCCCTGACCTGGGTACAGGGAGGATGCCATGAGGAGGTGGACTGGGCAGGCCTGGGGGCTGTGCGGGCAGTGGCATCCCACGTGGGCCTCTGGCCCTGCCCAGGGTCCAGGCTGAGGGGGCATTCCAGGGCATCCCAGGCCTGGCCGGTCTCCTGGGGCATGGCGGTGGGGCTGTAGGGGCCCCTCAAATGTCCATGTAGTCGTCGTCCTCGTCTGTCTCGCTCTCCAGCGAGGACTCCTGGCTGGATGTCTCCAGGACCTCCAGGGCCGGCTGGCACAGGCTCTCCTTCCTCACGTTGGCAGCAGACTGGGCGGAAAGGATGGCTGACTGCAGAGAGGGCCGAGTGGGGCACTAGTCAGGGATGGTTGGGCTCTGCCCCAAACCCCTCTGCCACCTTCACCCCTGCCCCAGGCTCCCGATTCACCCTCACCCCTGCCCCAGGCCCGTATGCCATCCTCACCTACACCCCCAGCCCCTCCTGCCACCCCCACTCCCACCGTAGGTCCCCTTGTAACCTGTGCCGCCCACCCACACATGTGGCTCTGGCCCAGCCCCTGAGGTCACCTTCAGCTTCTGCTTGGTCTCCTCCGAGATGCTGCCTTTGGGGGAGAGTAGGGTTGGGGTGGGTGGCGTGACGGTGATCTCAGGGGGGAACTTGGTGGCGGCGGAGGGGATGACCAGCTTTGGCATGTTGGGCAGGGGGCGGGACTTTGCCCGGCTGGGCTCTGCCTTGCCTGGGTGACCCTCTGGTGGCTGGACACTCCCACCGCTGGGGGCCTTGGAGCTGGCGGCTGTTGGGGGAGAGCTCAGGGGCTGAGTCTCACTCGCAGCCTCCTGAGCCTCCCCTTCCCTTCTCGGCTCAGGCCTCAGTTTCCCCTCTGGAAGACAAAGGGACCAAGAGTACCTCCTGCCTGCTGCATCACACAGTGAGCACTTTATCTCGCCCCCACTGGTCCTGGGTCTTTATGCTGTGTAGTTTGTGCCGGCTGGCAGGCTCCAAGGCTTCTACCCTGGGCAGATACTTGGCTCAAGCCTGCAGGGACCCAACTCTGGCCCTGGGCTGTGGGGAGCTGGGACTGTGAACCTCACCCAGTAACACCATGAACTCAAAAAGCCCAGGGCCTGAGACTCCCCGAGCCTTGCTGGGTTCTGCAAGACCTCCAGGCATCATGCCTGCATGAACTGTCACATCCCCACAACCATCCTAGGATCCATGTCCTATTGGTGTCTATGCCCCAGGGAGGACACTGAAGCCCAGAGCTGGTCACTCAGCCAGGCGTGGTCACTGGGCTGGCTCCAGGGCCTCCACTTTCATCTCATCCTCCAGGGGGAGCAAGGGGCTGAGTTTGCCCAGAGCCTGAAGACTGGGACAGTTGCAGGCCTGGCAGCCTCTAGGGAGCTGCATGAGCCGGGAGGACCCGGCTGGCCTGGCTCGCCTCCACATTCCTCTGCAGCCCCATGGCTTTAAAAGGAATGGGGTTTACACAGAGCCCATGCCTGGCCCCCAGGGGCTGGCGCCAGGTCCTGCCATCCCGAGTGGTCTGTGGGAGGCCCACGCCAGGAGGAGTCCCCAAGGGGCCTGCCTGGTTGGAGCAGCTGGTGGGAACAGGCCGGACAGAGGCCAGGGCTAGAATCTGACGTGGTTGCCGACAGGGACGCCTGCTTGGCCTAGCCCAACCTGTCCACCCTTCTGCCTGCTGCTGATGTCCCTCAAGTGTCTGTCACGGGCCCCATGCTCCTCCCTGTCCATGACTGCCCCTCTTTCCCCACTCTGGGCTCAGCCTGGGTCTTGCAGTGCACCCAAGCAGGCTGCCTGCCCTCGCTAGTACCCTTCCATGATGCCAGGGACAGAATAAGCCTCTGGTGTCCCTCTTTACCCAGCCCCTGACACAATGGGCCATGAGCCAAACTATTCAGCCTGGGCCTCTCCCTTGGCTCCCCTCTCCGGCCTGCACTACCCCCATTTCCTCCCCATCTCATTCCACGGGGCATCCCCAGGCTCTGCCCTCCAAGGCCAGGCTAGGAAACCCACCCTGGCTGCCAGCTGTGAGGCAGCCTCCTGCGGGCTGGTGCTGGGCTGCTCCCAACTGGCCTTACCCTGGCTGCAGGTGGGCTCGGCGCCTGTCCCTGGGGCAGCCTCTGCTGGCCAGCAGTGTGGCTCTGCTGGGGAACTTGTGGGGGCCGTCTTCACTTGCAGACTGCGCCGTGGCTCCTGGGGTGGGAAGCCCATGCCCTCTGCCACTCTCGCCAGCTCTTCTCCCTCTGTGGGGACATGGGCTCACCGCGGGTAATGGACTCATCCACCCCACAGGCTCCCATGCATCTGTTCCAGGTCCCATGGACCCAGGCTGTGCCCTGGGACACTGGGCAAGGGAGCATGGCCAATGCTGGGGTCCTGGCTGAGGCGTCTCTCCCCTCCACAGGGCAGCCCGGGTTGGTGCTGCCAAGAAATCACTCACCACCCAAGAGGACACTGGTGGGGGCTGGCTCCCCACCCCCAGAGGGCTCCCCACCCCCAGAGGGCTCCCCGCCCCCAGAGGGCTGTACGCCTGATCCAGTGGGGCCACACCTGAGTCTTCGAGGCCCAGCCTCTCTAAGATCCCATCACAAGGCAGTGAGAGGGGATGCGGGGTGGTGTCCACTCTCCCTCCAGCTCACATAAGCAGCATTCAGAAACAAGATCAGGACCAAAACCCAAACAACCCAACTAAGACCAAAGTGGATGCTGGCACTGTGGCTCCTGTCCAGCCAGCCACACCTTTCCTGGCCTGAGGCAGGGGCCAGGAATTGGGCTCAGTTGTGCCAAGGCCAGGATGGGCCTAAGAGGCAAATGCTGTCCATACGGCTGCTGGTCAGGCGGTTACTCAGCATTGGTCCCCAGTTCCCAGGCCTCCAAGCCCTGCCCCCACCCTCCACACAGCCCTCGCTTCCCTTGCTGCTCCCAGTCTTCTCACTCAGGCCTGGACTCTCCCATCACACTGTTCATCAACCACTGCCTTTCCAGCCCACCCCCGCCTCCCCATCCCACTCCTCTGCCAGGAAGCCCTCTGTCCTCTCCAGCAGGGGGTGCCAGCTCCCCTCCTTGGTCAGCAGGAGTGACAGCTCCCAGTACAAAGCTGGGGCCAGCAGGAGACTGCTGGGCTAGGCAGAGGCCTCAGGAGCCATGGCCATGCCCATCGGGCTGCTTTGCCTGAGGCTCCTGCCCCAGGCTGGCTGAGGCCTTGTCTCAAGCCTCCACCCCCTTGGGCCACTCCCTCCTATGCTCACTGTCATTCCCAGGTCCAGCCCCTGAAACACTATCTGGCAAGGATGAGTTCCTCAGAAGGCTCCTCCTGCCAAGCTCCCAGCCACTCCCCTACCTCCTGCAGGCAGGTCAGGGCTCACCAGGGCTGGGTACACACCCACCAAGCAGGTCTTCTCTCAGTCCTGTGGCCCTTCCACAGGCCGGCAGCCTGGCTGGACATACCCCTCAGTGGGGGTGGAAGGGCAGGCACCTGGCTTTCTTGCTGTGGCATTCTGCAGGAGGAGGCAGGGGCAGGCACCCTCCCTCCCCAGGCTACCTGGCTGCCTTATGAGGAGCACTATGGTGGGGGGGCTGAGGGGAGGGGCCTACTTGGGGATCCATCTTGCAGAAAAGGGCTGTCTGGAGCTCCCCCAGCTACCCCACGACTTGAGTTCTCTGTGGGAAGCAGGTGGCCAGGCCAAAATCCTGTGCCACTGGGGCAACTCTCCTTGCTCCTCAGCGCAGACCCATGAGCCAGGTGCCAGGTCTGGGCTGGTTGTCTCCCAGGCCCTATATCCCAGGAGGCTCCTGGGACTGGCTCTGTCTCCCCCTGGCCTCTAGGGACCTGCATGAGGCCAGCATTCCAGCCCCCTTCACCATGCTCAGGGGTGGTGCCCTTACTTGAGTCTTGATTTGGGAACCCCTGTTCCACCCTCCCGCCTTGCTCCACTCCCTTCACCCTAGATGGCCTGACTGCCTCAGAGAGAGGGGTCTTCCTCATCTAAGGCCAGGCCCTGTTCTAGCAGCTGTTCATGGAACCAGGTCCTGGGCTGTGGTGGGCAGGCACATGGCAAAGGAGATAAGCACGTGCCCAGAGGAGAGAGATGCCTGGACAGGCAGTGCCAGGGTCCCTCTGGGGACACAAGAGCCCTGACTGACCCCAAGCTCTCTGGGTGCAAATGCTGCATGGGGCCACGGCCTGGTTAGCACAGCCTGGGTAGATGGGTGAGCTCTTCCCTAGGGAAGAGGGGCACCTGAGAGCACCCTGCCTGCTTCCGCGGCCACCTTCCCACTGGAGACAGGGCTGCCCACCCTGGGAACAGCACCTGCCAGGGGCCCCGCTACACCTGCCCTCTTGGCTCCCTCACACGTTGAGTACAGCATCCTTAGAGAATTCATCCTCAAATCTGCCCTCCCAAGTGGTTCAGCCATTGCTCAGCCCTGTCTCCCAGCCTCATCCCCAGCCCAGCTGTGGCTCCAGGCCTGGACACTCTCATATTGGTGGGCGCCTCTGCAGGCAGAACCTGCCGTCCCCTGCAGCAGCCGGTTGCAGCAAGCCTGGGGGGCCTGGGTCCTGCTGAGGCCAGCTTGTTCCTGGTGCTTCCCCCTTTCTAGAGGTTGTGGGATGGGCTCTGGGGGGACATGCCTGTTTCAGCTTGGCTGTGTTACCACCCCAGAAAGCTCTGAGGACCCTTGGGGGACACCCACTCCAACATGACCAGCCACACGCCCTCTGCTTGCGGATCTGCCGCAGCCCTGAGGCGGGCAGGTATGGAAGCGGAGCGGGGCTGCTCGGGGAATGTCGAGCACGGGCCATTATGAAGAGGCCAGGCCTGCACTGGCACATTCTCAGCTGAGGGCTGCTCCCTGCCCCCAGTGTCATTCAAGAGTTTCATCCTGGCAAAAGGCCATTTAATTTGGTTTTGGGAATGGGAATAGAAAAGGATCAACTCTCCAGGCTGAAGAAAGTACGCTAGGAAAGAGATCCTCTTTCTTAGATCTAACAGTTAGAGGAGAGAAGGACGTGAATTACAGCTTTGGCCTGCTTGGCGGTGGGACAGGCAGGCAGAGGGAAAGCAGGCAGCCTCCAGCCCCCTACCCCGCTACCCCTGGCCCTGGCATCCATCAGGCCCTCCCACACCCCGGGGAGGTGTGTGTGGCCTACAGTGATCTCAGTAGCTCCTGAGATTAGGTTATAAAAGAAACCGAGGCTTCCTCTGTGTTCTCTCGGTGGAGTCAATGGCTCTGGGGAGAACCAGTCACCATGACACAGAGATATTCAGTTGTTTATAGAAAGGCCCATGGGAGGAGCCGAGGCCTCTGGCCAATAACCAGTGAGGACCTGAGGCTGCCAACACCCCAAGGGAGCTCAGATGCACTGATGATACCTTGACTGCAACCACGTGGGAGACCCTGAGCCAACTCCACCCCACTAAGCCATTGTCAATTCCTGACCGTCAAAAATTACAAGATGAGAATATGAGACGGGTACAAGGCAAGACAGCCCGAGACAGACGGACAGGAACTGGGTCTTCATGGGAGTGAGTCAGCTACCGACACTGACCAACTGATTATGGCACTGGGCTCCCATCACCCCCACACCTTGAAATCACCATCACCAGGCGGGGGGCATGGTGGTTCACACCTGTAATCCCAGCACTTTGGGAGGCTGAGGCGAGTGGACCTCCTGAGCCCAGGAGTTTAAGATCAGCTTGGGCAACATGGTGAAACCCCATCTCTACAAAAAATACAAAAATTAGCCAGGCGTAGTGGCCTGTGCTTGTAGTCTCAGCTACCTGGGAGGCTGAGGTGGGAGGATCCCCTGAGCCCAGGGAGGCTGAGGCTGCAGTGAGCCATGATCGCACTGCTGCACTCCAGCCTGGGCAACAGAGTGAGACCCTGTTTCAAAACAAACAGGTTGGGTGTGGTGGCTCATTCCTGTAATCCCAGCATGGGAGGCCGAGGCAGGTGGATCACCTGAGGTCAGGAGTTCGAGACCAGCCTGGCCAACATGGGGAAACCTCTGTCTCCACTAAAAATATAAAAAAAAAACCAAAACCCATGCCAGGTCTCTGCTTAATACCAAGCACAATTCCAAATCCTGCAGTGCCATTATCTTCATCTTATCCATTTTATGCAGGAAACTGAGGCAGAAAGAAGAAAAGGGATGGCCAAGGTCACATGGTGGTAGAACCACTACAGTTCTTTTTTTTGAGATGGAGTCTTGCTCTGTTGCCCAGGCTGGAGTGCAGTAGCGTGATGTCGGCTCACTGCAACCTCCACCTCCCAGCTTCAAGCAATTCTGCTTCAGTCTCCCAAGTAGGTGGGATTACAGGCACCCACCGCCACACCCAGCTAATTTTTGTATTTTGAGTAGAGATGGGGTTTCACCATGTTGGCCAGGATGGTTTCCATCTCTTGACCTCATGACCCAGCCACCTCAGCCTCCCACAGTGCTGGGATTACAGGTGTGAGCCAACACGCCCAGCTAACACTAGTTCTTTTACTGCTTTTTGTCCTGAAGCCCTCACAGCCTCCTCTGGAAACAAATGGCCACAGGTTCCAACCCAAAGGGAAGTAATTCTTTGTCTCACAGGGCCACAGCCAGTGCAACCGAGGCTGACTGGGCTAGAGGATGCCTACAGGTTCACAATCCTCAAAGCAGTGTGGATGGCATCAGGTGAAAACATCAGCACCTGCTGCTTGAGCCACCATGGGAAAGAGCTGAGAAGGACTTCTGAACTCAACCTCCACTCAGGCCCACAGTCTGTGGGGGCTCTCAGGCCTGCCTTCTGCTGGGCACTTCTGCAGAGTCGATGTCTCATTGTTCAGATGGGCGGGAAATTCAGCTGGGAAGACAGGTGGGCCTCCGGGGGTGACACAGGCTATGGGCCAGTGCCGGGTCTGGGGCAAGGAAACAGGCTGGGTCCCTGAGGCAGGGAGGGAGAAGCAGGAGAGGGCCTGAAAGGGAGGGTTGCGGAAACTGGTCTATTTCCAGTTGTCCCCAGATGTCCGCCGGATGTCCCCAGCGGCACAGGGAACCCTCTGACCACGCTGGTCTCTCCTGGGGCCCCACCACCTGGGGAGATGAATTAGTTAGGGAACATCCCTGTCCTATTATAGGGTCTTCAGAGCCTGGCCACGTGGTCATAGAGTCCTGGGAACCATCAGCGAAGGGCCCCCTGCCCTGGGTGGCAGGTGGAACCTGGCCCAGGACTGAGCTGAACCCAGTCTGGCAGAATTGCAGCTGCCAGAGCTGCTGGTGTCGGGACCAGCAAGGGGGATGGTGCCTTGTCTACTCCCCTCTCACTCACTGGCTGTAGCAGTGCTGCCTCTACATCCCCTCCCCGCAAGAAGGATCTGTGGCCTAGCTGTCTGCTCTGCATTTGCCCTGCAGGCTGCCATTCCAATGGATCCTGGGTTTTAGAAGGAACAGGAGCTTTCATTGACGAGGTCAGCAGGGCCCTCTACTGCCCGCACCTTTGTCCTCTCTGTTTTCCTTCACAAGCCCCCTGACCTGCCCCTGCCCTCATCCTGGCTGGCTTCTGTCTTGCCCATGAGGCAAGATGGGGTTTGAGCAGATCTGCTGGCCCTGCACCCAGTAGGGCCTGATACCCAGGAACTGTTTACAGGTATCTGAGGCCAGATACCAGTGGCCTTGCAGCATGCTGAAGGTCAGGATCCCTTCCAGTGCCCCGAGGGAGGCCTGGTGTGGGTTAGTATCCCTTTTTCCTACCTGACCAAGCCATCCTTCCTACTTACTGTAAGCCTTTGTGGGAAGGAAAACACGACAGCAACAAACACGTCTGTGATGGTGTTTGCTTCCTCCCTCCTCACCACCCCCTTTCACAGACAGGCAGACTGAGGCACCCAGGTTAGGTTAAGAATGGTAGATGTAGGATGTGCTGACCAGGGCCACAGAGGCTGCCAGTGACTGGTGAGTGGACCCGTAGCCATCTGCCCTGCCACCCCATGGGATCGACTGGGTAGGTGGGCACTGCTTGCCTCCCTTACCCACACTCACACTCTCCATGCAGGGAGGACTTGATGGTGGCAGTGGCGTGGGCCCAGCTCTGGACTGGGGTGGGACTCACCTGGGCCCAGAGAGGCCATGCTGGGGGTAGCTTCAGGCCTGTGTGGCCGGGGAGGCCCAGGGTCCTTGGACGGGTCCAGGGTGGAAGCTGATGCTGAGGGAGGGCAGGTGATAACAGTTGTGGCAGCAGCTAGTGCAGGGCGAGGCTTGGTGTGAGCATCACTGGGCCGCTGGGCAGAGTCAGCTGGCACAGGGTCAGGGGCTGTGGGTGCCACTGTCACAGGAAAGAAGTTCTCTCGGCTGTCTTTTGGGTGCTTTGGAGTGGTGGGGGTATCCCCCGAGGCCTGTGAGGACAAATGAGAGGTGAGAAAGGCCGGCAAGGCAGCCCTGAGCCCACGACTGCTCTGCCCGCCAGCCCACCAGTGCTGTCCCACAGGACACCCTGTGTGCCTGGGGCTGCCAGCACTGCCCATATGACACCACTGAGCCCCCACAATGCTGCCAACAAGGTCCATCAAAGAGGCACCCCATCAGGATCCTGCTGATGCTAGGACACAGCTGGGGACCCAGAACCCCTCCCTGGGAGGATGTTCAGGTCATACTGGTGGGGACTCAGTGGAAGGACCTCCAGCTGGCCTTGCCCTCACATCATAGGGTGCCAGTCTGGGAGGAGTATGTCCAGTAGGACCCTAGGCACGGGAGCAGCTCCCAACCCAGGGAATGCAGGAACAGGTGGTTAGTCTTGGAGGGTGACTTCCTAAGGGCCACTCATTGGAGAGTCCTGAGGGAGCTAGTAGGATGCTGCAAGTTTCCTTCCTGGGCTTGATACCACAGCCCACTGTGACCTACTGCCACGGCACCCAGTGCTGTCCCCAGCTTGGCCTCTCCCTTGCAGCCTGGCCTTGGCAGCTGCTTCCACCATGGGCCTTCGATTTCCAGGTGAGCCAGGCCCTAGGGGCCTCCGAGTCTTCAACCACACAGTTCCCTCTTCCACGAGGCCCTTTTGGGGCTCTTTTCACAGGGCTACTTTTGCTCCCACTCCCAGCCAGCACTTCTGGGACAGGTGTGAAGGCTCCAGTGCCCTGATAGCATGTCTTGAGGTGATGTGAGGTAGCCCTGAGGCAGCCTCTCACAGCTGAGCAGAGGGGCTGGGCCCATCCTTCAGCCCTCCCTAGCACCAGGCCAACTGTACTGTGGGAGCTGGCCCACATGGGGCTGGCTAGCAGCACCCCCATCCCCTCGAGTGTGGGAGAGTCACACGCCTGCAGGTGGATACCTCAGTGCATGGGGGCGGGCAGTCTGCTACCACCGATGATCCCGTCTCTTCTGACATTGGTTTTGCTAAAATGCCCTGTTCCCCAATTCCATATGGTTCAAGACGGGCCCCTGTGGACTCTGCTACATACTGGGTGTCTGGGATGTGCCCCAGGCCAGTGCTCTGGGACCCAGCCTTGTCCTGTGGGAGGGCGGGGCAGGAGGACAGACCTGTCTCTCTGGCCCTGAGGGCCTGCGGCGGTGCCAGTGGTGTTGTAGCAGCCTAGCTGGCAGCGTGAGCAGACACGCTGGAGAAAGGTGAGTGCAGTGTCCCTGTCCTCGCTCAGGAGCGGGCCTCAGCCGTGGGCACTGAGCCTCTATTTCAGAGCGCCCTCCAGGCGGGTTCAGGGCTGCCATGGCAACCAGGACATGCCGTGAGCAAAATGGACACTCCCTGAGGGGCGGGAGCTGTGGGCTCTGATGGCAGGAAATGGGCCTCCACAATGAGGGAGTAGAGGACCAGAGGATGGCAGCCAGCCCCCACAGTGCCATCTTCTCTGGGACCAGGGTAAGAATCCTGGGTAGGAAATGCAATGAGAGGGCCCATGGCAGATACCAAGGCACCCCCACCGCACCACCAGGGTCTGGGAAGCAGGCAGGTAGGTCTGAGGGTCATTAGGGCCTCCTCCCCACCACTCTCCTCCACACCCTGGGAGGGGACTGCTGGGGCCTGGCCTGGCGTCGCCCAGCAGCAGGTAACCTGAAAGGTAAGGACCTGGGTCCCCTTGCTCTGGCCGCCCCCATAACCCAGGCTGTATCTTCCAAGGTCTCTGACCTTGAAACTTCTGCCCACCCAGCCCTCAGGGGCCCTGATATGCATGTCCTTGGCAAAATGGGGTCTGGCCCTGCCCTGACTCCTGCCAGCTCAGCACCCCTTTCTTCTCACACTATGGTATGGGGTTGTGGGGGAGTTTCCTGTGTGGATCTATCTTTTAAGGACATCAAAAGCAGAAAAAGCCCTCCTGTCTCCTGAGTGGTCACCACTCACATGTCTACCTGCTTCACCTGGGCCAGTGGAGGAGGCACGGCACCCTGGTGGACCTGGGCCTGGGCCTGCGCCCAGCACTGGGGCCCAGGCAGCTGTGCTATGCACTCTGCCCAGCTGGACAATGAAATGGTGGGGACTGCTGGGGGTTGGGGCACTCCCTGCCAAGGACTCTGGCCCTTAGCTGGGGACCAGGCCCACCTACTCCCCACAGCATGCCCTGTCTGGCCCACAGCCTGCTTGGTCAAAGCTGAACCTCCCAGGCTTCCGCTGACGTAACAGCTCAGGCAGGTGGTGGGGGCCTGAGGCCCCATTCCACTGAGAGGAAGCCTGTCTGGACCCCAAAGGCAGCTATCAACCCTCTGCTAGGGGACCTGGAACAAAGGGACCTGGGGCGACGCTACCCGGGGCATCGGGCCACCCCTGGGGACAAGAGGCTGCACCTACTCAAATGGCATGCCACCAAACCTCTGGCTTGGAGGCTTATGTTTTAGACAGAGCACACCTGCTCTCTCTGCCTGCCATGTCTGCCCCTCCCTGCCTCATCCTCTCACTGAGATCGGATCCCATCCCTCCCACTTCTTCGGTCATGGAGACACTACCCCAACTCATAGCCAGACCCTGCCCACTGGCTTCAAGCTGGACTTCTCCCATGGAGACTTCTCTCCTCCAGACCCAGCACCTTACCTGCTCCTGCTCAAGCCCTTTCCAGCCTCATCACTTCTCAAAAATAGCCCTGGCCCCTGGGTTCCCGTATCCATCAGGCCCCCATCCTCACTGCCCTGGCATTGCTGACTAGCTGGCCCCTGGGAACACTCTCCTTCCTGGCTACTTCCCTGTCCTGCTCAAGTCTCTTCTCTGCCTGTGACCTGGCCAAGGTCCTTGGCCCTGCCTGTGCCCTCTTCTAGCCTCTGATGGCTTCAGGGGCACTTACCCCAGGTCTCTGGCCTGGACTGCCCCTCCAGGTGGGGGCCCCTGACGTTCCTGACCACTTGGCCTCTCTCTCTTGAAAGAGTCTCAGACTCAACACAAACCCAATCTCAACCCTGGCTTGGGGTCCTCCCAGGAGGGGCCTCCCCCACTCCCTACTCTCTGCCATATCTTGGACCCTGCCCCAGCCCTGGCCTGGCCCCTGAACCAACCCCTTCTTCCCCACTCAGGAGCGTGGCTGCCTTGCTTTCTCCCTGCTTAATAAACTCCAGGACTCCTGCCTACCCTCTCTTAGGACACCTTGCTCCCTACATGCCCTCCCCTCATGGAGGGGGGGGTACCTGTGTAGGCTGCATCTCCACCTTTACCCAGCCACCTGGCTCCTAACCAGCCTGGCTCTAACATTGTTTCTTCTACTTCTGTCCCAGAAGGAATGACCTTCCCAGGTGAGGTCAGGTGGCTAGGGGTCATCCTCCTTGTTAGAGAAAAGGTGGCTGAGGTGAGGAGACCCCTCGGCATGTCTGAACTGGGGTCTGGGCCCTGTCAAGTTCCCGCCCACCATGGCCATGGGCTGGAGGCTCAGCTGACCCCTGCTCATCTCCCCTTGGCCCAAGCTGACCACCACAATAACAGTCCCAAAAGTGGACCTGTTTCTCAGCCTGCATCCTAGGGCCTTGACATGGAGCAGGCTCCGCCAGATGAGGCTGGCACAGGCTAAATTGGGCTTACCTGTCTCTGGGCGGCAGCCCCAAGATGGACCTGGCAGAACTTCACAGCCTGCTCCAGCGCAGCCTCCTCATCCACCTTAACAGCGAGATGCCGGAGGTCAGTGGGCCCAGGCCATTGTGGTGAGCCTCCCCCAGCCCTGTCTGTGTATGTAGCACGGACCAGCCTAGGTAGGGGGCATGACCTATGGCTCGGGTGCCCCCCACCACCCCAGACTCTACTGAAGAGCCAGTAGTCCCCACTGCTGTCCACACCCGGACCCCTACCTCCCAGCTCTTCATGGGTAGCAGGGGCAGGTGCCCATCCATCTTCCAGGTGGGGGTGCCTGTTCAGGTGCCACAGCACCAGGTACTGGTGCCAGGACTAGACCCAGCCATTCCTCTGAGCCCATCTGGCTATACCAAGTTCATTTCTATGGCTGAGTTACTTACATCCTCACAAGCTGAAGCTGGCAGGCAGACTCAGGGCTCCAACCAAGCCTTCAAATTCAGCTGAGGCTCAGCTGCTAGGGGATGAGGGGAGTCTTCTGAGCTAAAACCTGCCCCGTAAGTGGGCAGGATGGAGGGCCATGATTAGAGTGGGAGAGGCCTTTTAGAATCCCAGGCCTGATGGAGATCGCCCCATGCTGTGTCAAGTGTGTCTGGAGATTCAGTGCCCAAGGTCCATACGATATGGGGCAGTTGGGGGTGGGGTGCATTGCAAACTGACATGATTAGAGGGAATACTGTATGTTAGGGATGGTCATCCCATCTGAGCCAGTCACTAAAGTTTTGGAGATTCTTCCTATGGGAATAATTTTAAACAGAGAAAAAGGAAAGTGCTTGATATATTAAAATAAAATGTTTTTAAAAAGGCGGTAAAATGAGAAGGGGATCTCTGGTCACTGCAGCCATCTTTAGATGACAGCCACAGAAGTCTTGAAGGAAATGCCCTATTTCAAGGGAAATGCCCTTGAAGATGCGCCCAGAGGCCCGGCACAGCGGTGTGAGCAGCGGTCCAGACTCCCTGCGCTGGTTGTGATAAGGTTTCTGTGATAGGCTCTCACTTCCTTCCAGGCTGAATATCAACTTTTTAAAGCTCATTGCAGAATGTGAACAGTGGGGAACGGGGTGGGAAGAACACCTAAAACCCAGCCCAAGGGCAGGCCCAGGAGACCCTCCTTGAGAATAGAAAGGCAAGAGTGGGGATGCTACCAGCACACAAGTGCCCCTAGGCCTCTGCCCGCCGCCCACCTGCTTGATGAGCATGTAGGTCTCCGACATGATCCTCTCCACACGGCCAAGGTCGTAGGCCACACCCTTCTGGCCCTGCTGCCACACACGGTAGGCATCCAGTAGAAGTGTCTTGCCTGACTCCGTGTCCTCCAGGAGCTTCCTCTTGCGGCTGAGCCGGGGGAGCGGCTCCTCGGGGTGGCCCCCTGCCCTGGTCCCTATGGTGGTGGCAGGGGCGGAGGCTAGCTGGGCTGGGGTGAGCGGGGTGGGCTGCTGCCGGGCACTGATGCTCAGTTCCTCCAGGGACAGCTCAGTGGGCCGGCTTTCGGGGCCCCGGTCCCTTGGGGGACGACCTGGCAGCAGGGGTGGTGTCCGCTCTAAGTCTGAGTGGCGAATAGTGGCCTCACTCGTGTCCATGGGTTCAGTGGGTCCTGCCCGGGGGGTCTCCTTGTCCTTCCACTCCCCGCTTTGGTCTGCACTGTCTCCTGCATCCATGGCCACAGGCCGGTGGTTGAGGAGGCCCACTTTGCCCCCTGGCTCGGGCCCTGGCCCTGAGGCATCAGCCAGAGGGGGCTTCTTCGGCTGAGGGAGGCCCTCCTGGCCATCCTCAGGACTGGCCTTGTGTGAGACATCGGTGGTCATCCTGGCTCCGGGGAGGCCACAGACCTTGGGCCCTGGGCGCTCTGACCCCTACAAAGAAAACAAAGGTAAGATGTTGTGCCGCTGGTGTCTCCAATGCAATGAATCACCTCTGGGGGCTGGTGAGCCCAACCTGGGCCTCTCCCACCTGACATCTGTCTGGCTCTGGACATCCGCCAGCTGGCCAGGGCTGTGTCTCAATTATCAGAGAAGGATACTGGACACAGAGACCTGCCTAAGAAAGGCCTTCCCTCCTCTGCACCTCTGGCTGCCCTACCACACTCTCCCAGGTAGCAAGGGGCTGACGGGACTCTGGAGGTGGCACTGCTCCTGAATAACAGGCCTGGATTGAGTTGGGGCAGCATTGCCCAGCTCTCCTTTGACTCCATGATGTGACCTCTGAGCAGCTCTGGGCATTTTATGGGATCGGACCTGCCCAGGTCCACCAAGCGTGTTTGCTGCAGAGCCAAGTCTTCCTGGCCCCTAAAGCATGAGGCCTGGGGTTGGGGGCTGGCAAGGATTCCTCCCCAACGGGCTCAGGCTGATCCCCTGCGCCAAGCCACAGCCAGCCCTACCAGGCATAAGCTCTGGAGGCAGTCCTGGTTCAACTCCCAACAGCCCCACCCGCTAGGCTGGCTGCTTAACCTCCCTGGCCTCCTTCAGGTGCTAAGCTGTGAGAAGGAGGCACTGCTACATCTGCCTTGAGGCTGAAAAGGCACGAAGCACACACACAGTGTTCTCACAGGCCTTGGTCAGCCTGCCAGGAAGAGGTCTTAGGACCCCGCCCTGGGTGGTGCACGCCCTTGGGGAGCTCAGTTTCGTGGAGTCACTACGGCGCTCACTAATCACCAAGTGCATCCATGCCTCACTGAATTCATGTGCACTCATTACCACAGCTGACCTTCCCTGCCTAGGCAAAGGCAGGATGGATGCTACCCCACAGATGGGGACCCTTGGGCACATCCTGCCTCGGGGTGTGCAAATGGTGGGATCGGGCCCACCGCCTGAGAAGGGCTTGGAAGCGTGTTCATGGGCCGTGAAGGAGAGGGGGACACAGGTGGCATACCTCTGCGAGCTCGCTCAGTGTGTCTTCCAGCACCTTCACAGTGAGGATGAAGGCCCGCTGCGCCAGGACCTGGCGGTCAGCATCTCGAAGATACTTCCTGTGGTCATACAGGGGTAGTCAGAGAGGACAGGAAGGCATCTGACACCACATAGCACTGCTGGATGGTGGTCACTGCTCATCCCTGCCTTGAGGATGCCTGTTGGTTCCTCAGTGTCCCAACTAACCACCTGTTGGGGCTGCTCCCTTAGAAGCTTCCCCTGAGCTCCTTCTATCCACAGAGCCAGTAGGCCTCTGACCTGGCTCCAGCCTGTTGCCCTTGGGCCCTCTGTAGTGAGCCCACCCTGTGTGCTGTGCTCAGTGACAGCTGGGGAGGGCCTATAGCTGCTCCCTCAGGTCTGGCTCCAGGGTGTCCCAGGCCCCAGGTGGAGGCCCCTGAACTCCTGGCACATTGCCTGGCAAGTGGTAGGTGAGTGAGACAGCCAGAGGGTGAGACAGTACAGGCATGGGCGGAGGCCCAGCCCAGCCAACGGCGTGAGGCCTCCAGGCCAGGCCCATCTACATCTGAGTTGCATTTCTTCCAGGATGCCCCCAACATCCCCCATAAATGGCAGCTGTAACAGATGGCTCTGTTGTCTGTCCTGCCCTCTCTGGCAGAGAGCTCCCTGTTTACCACTGAGGCCTAGGCACCCCTATTGCTCACCCCACTGTTACTGGCCTTTGTCTGGGGAACCACAGCTATCTTCTGAACATCTGTTTTCCCTACAACCTGACAGCACCCCGAGAGCCCTGAGTTGGGGGAAGCAGGAGGAAAGGAAAGGCTGGGTAGTCCAGAGTCTCAACATGCAACCAGGATCAGTGGGGACAGCCTGTGTCTGCCCCAGGGTGCCTGGGGACGGGAAGTGTTGCTTAGGTTCTAGACACTGGGACAGAGAGGTCCCCGAGGAGAATGAAGAGCTGGTCCAGGCTCCCAGCCAGTGGTCCTCACAGCTGGGCCAGAGCGTGGAGAAGCTGCCTGGGGTGGGTGTGCCCTGACCCACACAGCACGCCAGGCTGTGTCCAGGGTGGCTGCACTCACTTGCCCTGGTCTGGGGTTCGCTGAAGCATGGAGGACACCTTCAGCAGGGTGCTGTGGTCCCGCAGCTGGGCCAGCACCTTGAGCAGCAGCACGATGGAGCGGTTCATGTGCCAGGCAAAGCTGCCCGGCCGGTCAATCTCGTCCACGGGGATCCGCCAGATGCCCTGTGGGGTGGACGGCACACGTGTGTGAGGCGGGTGGTTGCCCCAAGGGGCGGTTCCTCACAAAGGGGCACCCTGTCTGGTGTCTCCACAGTGCCAAAGGAGACACTGCCCAGCCAGGGGCTTCTTGGACCCCTCTCACTGTCCCAAGGAGGACAGAAGTGCATCCCCACCCCCTTCCTCCTCATGGGTGGCAGCAAATGATCGATAGACCCACTGCTCTGCAGCCTCCTCTTTTGTATGGCTGCATCGCATATGTTTGCTGGACCTCTCCCACTACGGGATGCAGTCAGGTGGAGCCTGTTCAAACATATGGACAGACAGTGAGAGGCCCAGTGTGTACACCTCCCTGCACAGGAGCTTAACCAGCCACCAGACCACTTGTTAGAGGTGGAAATGCTGAGTCAAAGCGGGCTGCAGGGAAGCTCTGGCAAGGCTCCTCCCTCACCCACTCCCTCCAGCAGTGCCCAGAGAATCATCTGCAGCTCCTGGGATGCCTGGGGTCCCCCTCCCTCTTCCCACTTCTTGCCATCCTGCCCCACTCCTCTGTGAAAGCTTAACCAGGACAAAGTTGACTTTGGGGAGCCCCCCGCATCATCTCCCTTGGCCCTTGCTCTACCTGCTGTGGCACTGGCCATCCCCTACCTATCACTAGCTCCAGGGTCTGGTTCGCTGCTGTGTCCTAGTGACCAGCATAGCATCTGACACCTACTCGGGGTCCAGGCAGGGTATAGGGAAAGTGCAGATGATGGAGGAAGTGATGAAGAAACAGGCATTAAGGAGGCCTATCTCTGGGGTGACACCTCAGGGGCCTGGAATAAGTAAACTGGCTCCCAGATGGGTCCCTGCAGCCAACATGCTGAAGGAACTGCTGCCCATAATGGACCAAGGTTATGAGTGATATCGCTTTCTCCCTGGCATGGGGCCTGGCCCACATCATGCTGCAGTACAGGATTCTGGGGACCGGGGCCCCCAGCTACAGGGACTTCTGCAGGATGTCTAGTTGGTGCCCCTCTCAGGGCCCTGTCCCTGTGGGTCCTTGCTGATTGTCCACAGTATCTGTACACATGTGTGGGCCCACCCTGCTCTAGCAGCCCTGGAAGGGAAGCCAGGGCACTGCCAGCCCTGAGCTGTTAAAGGCCTGAAATGAGCTTAAAACTCGCAGCCTTGAGCCCCTGTGGCCTCTACACTGGCTCCTGTTGTGACATGGAGGGTCCAACCCGCAGGCTGGGGGACTGTGTGGAGGCTGGCAGCCACCTTCTACCTCCTGGCAGTGCCTGAAAAGGACAAAACCAGGGTACTGAGGCTATCCACACCCAGGGCAGCAAACATCAACGCTGCATCTTCCTACCATGCAGACGTGGATCCTGAAGCAGCTTATGAAAAGACACCTACTTTCCAACAGACAAGGTCTGTCTACAGTAGGCGCCAGAGTGGGCAGACACTGTCTCCTGGGTCTCCATTTGCTGCAGCAGTATGTCCCACTGAAGACGCTCCCATCCCTGCACCTCCCAGGGCACCCAGACACCAATAGACACACCCGTGAGGACGGGTCTAGTTTGCATCACACACGCCAGCACAGTTTGGATCCCTATCTCCCTTCCATTTCCTTTCGTAACATAACACCACTGATTTCAGAAAGGATGGAAGACCAAACAAATCAGGCAGTGAGTCCATGGAAAACCAGAGGAAACTACAGACGCCGCCGCTCGCTTGGCCACCCCCACGCTATCGTGATTCTCAAAACTTCCCCAGTCAGCCCTAAGAGGCTTGAAAGGCAGCATTTTACATTTACATGTGCTCTGGTTTCATTTTGGCATCTTGCTTGGCCTTTTTCTGGTAACAGTGCGCTGAAGGGCATGTTTCCCGGGCAGGGTCAGGCCAGCTAGTGTGCCCTTGTTCATCTCTTCACCGTATCTTCACTCACATGCCCCAGTATGGGGGCTCCTATCTTTATCTACCTTGCACTGGGCACTATTCCCAGAAGCCCCTTCTGTTGTGGGCTTGTCCTTTCCCTGCCCCCAGGATTGGCCCCCTTGCCTGCTCAGCCAGGCCTGAGACCCACCCACCAGCCATGGGAATTCAGCCAGGATCCCAGTCAGGCTTCCCCTCCTAATGACAGCCTTTAGGAATAACCTCTCTTCTCTGTGGCCTGGGGCGGTATGCAGATGGACATACATCCCAAAGGGTGGGGGGACTTCCTGTGGCCATGAGGCTGGCCTCCAGAGAAAGCTGGTCTGAATTGTGAAGCTACCAGGCAGAGTCACGAGCCGGCAGGGTGGGAGCAAGCCAACTGGCTTTCTGCCTACACCAGGTGGAGCTGGGCTTCTGCGTTTGCAGCAAGAGACCCAATGAGAAGGATGATACCAGCAGCCCCAGAATGACCTGGCCATGGCGGTTCCCCACAGAGCGGCAGTAGCCACAGCAGCCCTCTCCCTCCACTGTCCCTCTAACACCGGGCCTGTGGAGGGCTATGAAGCTCCTAGAGAACCAGGATGCTGAGGATCTCCTGGAGTGGGACAGGTGCAAGGGACGGCCCCTGCTTCACCTGGTTTTCCTCACCATGGCCCACACAGGAGGAAGGGGGATGGCCAAGTTCCAACTGCAACAGCAGAAGCCCCACTGCATTCAGCCCAGGGGGCATATGTTCAGGCCTCAGGGATGGTGTGGAGAATGTGCCAGGGGTGAGCTCGGGTAAAGCTAAGCCAGGGCCAGAAAAGAAGGGCATGGGCAGCAGTGACCAGGAGCTCTGGCTGAGGGCAGGTGGAGGGAGCCAGCACCAGGCCAAAACCCCCATGGCATCTGAGGGAAAGGCAGAGGCAGGATCACAGATGGGCAGGGGCCACGAGTAGCAGCTGAGAGAAGCTGGGGTGCCATGAGGAGGGTCTCCTCTGGCCCTCTCCTAGTTCTCCCTCAGCCCTGGGTCCCAGTGCTCTGGCTGTACCCCTTGCCTCGCCTCTCCCAGCTCTACAGGCACACATGCTGTCTTCAGATTTGCCTCACTTGATTCTCGGGCCCTGATGTCACCAGGGCTGGGTTCCATGGTGGCCAGAGTGGCTGGGATAATCCTTGCTTAGAGAGTTGAAGGCAGCTGGGGGTGCACACCAGTAGCCTCCGAGGACTTAAAGACACTGAGATGGTGCTGAGGCTTCCCCTCCATGCCAAGCATCTCATTCCAAGCATCTCAGTCAATGCCCTAACCCTTCAGAATGGCTCTGGGCTCCTCACTGGCAGATGAGGTCACAGAGACAGATTTTAACAATCTGAATAATTTATGGAGCCCCAGACTCTAAGCTGAGTGCCTGATACAAATTACCAAACCCTGCCTACAGCCTTAAGACTTGGTTGTCTTCCCACCGCTCTTGAGGAAACAGAGCTTCAAACGCTGAGTCCCATGGTAAGGTGAGCCTAGGGGTCCACAGAGGGAAGGCATGACTGCTATGATTTGGGAACCCATGAAGACCTTCCCAGGGGAACTGAGAGCTGGTTAAGTGGAGGTGGTGGGATGCTACTGGGCCAGCCTGTGCTCTTGCCCTGTTATTTTATGAGGGGGCTGGGAAGCAGGGTGAAGTGCCTGGGGGCAGAAGGGCTGTGCAATCTTGGCAGGTGGCACCACTCAGAGGTGACAAGTGTCCCTGAAGATATAGAACACTGCTATTCCCAGCCAACAGGCCAAGGCCATGCCCAAGCCTATGGCTCATGGCTCATGCTGTCTCCAGCACACTGTGGTCTCGGGGGAGCTTACTCCTGGAGGGGCATGGGTTCTCTTTTCTGCCTGACACAGCCTTTCACTCAGCCAGGGCCAACCCTGAGCTTGACAGCCTGAGGCCGCAGATTCAAACACAGTTCTGGTTCTCATAGTAAACCCCACTGCTGGCTACTGGGTCACTGCTTGGGCCATTTTTAGTGGCACAGCCCAAGGCTGTTCTGAGGCTCCCTAAGCTGAGGGGTTCCCAGCTCTGTCACCTTTGCGGACCCCAACTTTCAGTCATGACTCCTTCTAGAGCTTCCTCCACTTCAAGGGCACAGGCAAAGGCTCTTCAGGAAAACAACTGCCCCTGGAAATTCCAAGGCAAGAAAGAAGGGTGAGGAAGAGGAGCAGGCCAGTCAGAACAGTACTCAGACCCAAGGCACGAGCTTGTCACAGAATGGACGAGGGTCAGGTGTGGGCTGAGTAGGGACATAGAGATTCATCCTACATCTACATTGGGAAGGACAGCATAAGTATGTAATCAACTCACCCCTCATTTTCCAGAGAGGGAAACTGAGTTCAGGTGACCTGCCAAGGCTGCCCAGTGATGCAAAGTGGGACCAGGACTCAGGGGCCAGACTCGCCCACCTCAAGTCTCTTCCTACACCCCTGCTTAACACTCAGAGGAACAAGAAATTGGCAGCCTCTCTGTTTTACAGATGTAGAAATGGAAGCATGGAGAATGCAGTGATGCCAGTTCACCTCGGTTTTGAAAAGGTGCCTCTTAAGACTTGGAAAAGTCCATCGCACAGGCAGGCTGCCACTGGAATGCCTGCCTGTGGACAGGGTGGCTGGCAGGTGGCCAGTGTCTTCCACCAGCACCATGGGTGCCTCAGAGTGTCATAATTAAGTCCCTTGGGCAATGTTGCAAGAAATGGCCTCTAAGCAAGCTCTCTGTTGGCCTTTTCCAGCTATTCCCTGCTGCCACACCCACAGGATTCAGATGCAACCCCCTGTCCCATTCTGTCATTCCCAGGGCCTTGCCCAGCTGGGATGCCAGGTGAGGCTCAAGCAAGAGGGCAGACGAGGGAGGAAGCATACTTGGGAGTATCCAGAATGGCTGTGAAGGAGCTGCCTGGGTGCTGCACAGAGGTGCCGAGGAGGGAACAGGCCGTGAGGTACCAGCAGCCATCTGGGAGACCCAGGGCACCCGGCCTGACAAGGGAGCAGGCAGGCAGCTCGGCAGGTGGTCATCTGCTTCACACAGCAGTCTCTTTCCTCTCCAGCTCACCCAGGTGGTCCGATCCAAACT